CAGTCATGAATGTTGCCACTAAAGCAAAAGGCATGGCAAAAAATATTGAATCATGATCCACCCCATTTGCTTTTAAGAATATCGCTTATGACACTGTTGGCAGGCATGGACCAGCAGGCAGGCTGCACCATCACCACCAGTGACCTTGATCAATTGACCATATAAAAAGATCAATTCCATGATCACCCAATTCTTGTCATCCTCTAGGTTGGTTCCACTGTCCACAATATATATATATATATATATATATATATATATATATATATATATATATATATATATATATATATATATATATATATATATATATATATATATGTATATATATATATATATATATATATATATATATATATATATATATATATATATATATGATAAAAATATAATTTTAAAACATGCTATGTTTATGGGTTATAGTGCTCAATGTCAGGGATAGAGCATATGTAAATATAAAAATGGACATTGTGGTCAACACCCAGTGGCGACAGTCTGTTTCATGCTTAAACACAATTTTCAGGCATGGAAAACTATTTTTTTTCAATGGTATATTGTGTGTTTACAGCTTTATTTGATGTCATTCAGGTAAGTACTTTCCCCTCTGGTTGAGTTTGGTTGGTATGTGCATGATATGCATTTTTTCTATCTATGACTTGTCTGGAGAAATAAAAGTTCCCATTTTCACACTACAGCTGCTGACCACCTGATGATTGTATGAAAGCATGAAACCAAAAGTAGTAATTGGGTTGGTCACTGTGTGTCAAAGATTTTATTTACAATTTAGTAAAAATTTCCCATGCTATATGGTATAGAGCATTTCCGTTATTATCTACAGTGGACTCATTTTAAGAGCTGCTTATTTCTATTAATATATATATATATATATATATATATATATGTATATATATATATATATATATGTGAAAAATATATAGAAAATAGGAAAGAACTCGTTAGGTAAATAATCCAATGTTCTTTAGTATTTTTTATTATTATTTAAAAAAAAATAGTGGTTGATACAAAAGTAGAGCATAAATATAATTATTTATTTAAAATATGATTCAACACGCTTACATAAGAGTTCTCATGTTTCAAAACAAAGAGCCGAAAACTTCAATATAATTATTTGAATTAAATTGAATTAAAGTACTAAGCTCTGTTCCATCTTCAAGTGAAATTTTTCTTATATTCAATTAATTCAAATAATTATATTGAAATTTTTCTTATATTCAATTAATTCAAATAATTATATTGAAGTTTTCAGCTCTTGTTTTGAAACATGAGAACTCTTATGTAGTGTGTTGGAATCATATTGTTAAATAAATAATTATATATATATATATATATATATATATATATATATACAGGGTGTATCAAAAATAATTTTACAAACTTGGAGGTGGGTATGGAATTATCACTGCTTCTGTTACCTTATCCACAAGGATAAGTGGTGATGCTTTTTTTTTCAGAAGATTTCACAATTTTACTTGCCAATCTACAGGTCATGACCAGTTTATAAAAAATAAGTTTTTAATTTTTGCTTCTTCATTTAGTTTAAATTTAATGTAGGTCATATTTGATTGGTTGATAAGAGTAAAGCCCACAAACTTTACAACCCCCACATTTTTCTTTTTTTGTAAAAAGAGGTTGTATCTTGCTTTTAAATCTAAATAAATTGTTCACTCACCAGTAAGTTACAATCACCTAATGAGATGCATTTATATGCATCAAAATACGACTGCAATTATGTAGCGATTTTGACATGTTTTCAGTGTAATATCCTAAAATAAGTAAATATATATATATATACATTTTTACAGCAAAAACCTCCTAGAGGCTGATGAAAGCCATTAAAGAACAGTTTCAAATAGCCTATCCCCATGTTGAGGTAATTTTTATTTTCTTGCTGTAAAAAATACATATACTCTGTTAAAATAAAAACATCAAGCTTTCTGTGGATCATTTTTTATAATTAATATTACTAGGATTCACCTGGATTATATACCAACGAATCGATTACCTGTACTATATATATATATATATATATATATATATATATATATATGCACATAAAATTTAAGATTTAAAAGTGAAGCAGATATTTTCATATAGTGTTCAATATAAAAATAGACCAATGATAATATTATTTTATATATATATATATATATATATACAAAAGAATTACTTAACTCTAATTTTCACCGGCTTTAAAGTTTTGTGGTAATATGTCCACTTTTCAATGGGTTAATTCATATATTAAATATTTCCAGTTGTATTTATTATCCATTTTTTTTCAGTTTCTATATTTATGCCTTTTTTAACTCCATTAGGGACATACACATGTAAATATTTTTTTATGTGCTCACATGTTCCTTCATAAATATAATTGTTTTCAATTGTATATCTTTAATTCATAAATGTTTTTCTATTGTATATTTCTCAGTTGTATATTTTATAATTTTTATTTTTCATTGTTATTTTTGTTTGTATATATATCTTTGATTGTTTTTATATATACGTATGTATTGTATTGTGTTTATTATATTATGTTATATTATTTTCTGTTGTATTTGTCATATTATGTTATATTAGTATGTAAGTTGCCAAGTAAATATTTAAAATGTCTGCATTTACCCATTAATTCAGTTTTCTTATTTAATAATTTCATTTGATTACTGAAATTTATTATATAAAATTTTTCAGTCTACATTTTCTATTATTTTAACACTACATTTTCTATTATTAATAGTACTTAGTGGAAAGCGCTCAATATCAGCAATAGAGCTAACATATTCAGTTGTATGGATATGAGTTTGTGACCTTGGATTTCACACTTTTGTGATCATCAGACAAACTGGTTTATTTTTTTATTTTGTCTGATGATTGCAAAAATGTAAACAAGTCATATATATATATATATATACACACACACACACATATATATTGTGTGTGTGTGTGTGTAGAGAGAGAGAAGAGAGAGAGAGAGAGAGAGAGAGAGAGGTGTAATGGGTTAATTGTCTCCAGTTTATATTTTTAATTTTGTATGTTTTGTTTTTTTTTTTATTTTGTCAACTGCAGTCAGTTGGGGACCATCTGTGAGTAAAAGACCACCGTGGCACAATTCATCCTGCTAGAAATTTGGAAATTCCATGATGTACTGCCTGGCATTCATGCTGGAAGCTCCAATATGAATATTTCAGAGTGTTTGTGTGTCAATCTGAGGACAGTGCAGAGGATTTGGAAAGCAGTGGATGAGTCTAATGGTGTTTACAAAGCTATGGAAGCTCAGAAACCTCACACTGATCGGTCTGATAAGAAAAGAACTCCCAAATTTGTTGGTGAGGGCCTTAGACTCAACATGGAGGCCTACATCAAGTGCCTTGAGGAGGAAGTCCTGCCCTGGTTCAAGAGGGTGGCTGCTGGAAGACCATGTCTGTGGCAATAGGACTCTACACCATGCTACACAAGCCAAAGAACCTAGTCATGGCTGTCAGATAATTTCTGCGACTATATCACCCCTTATATCTGGCCACCAAACTTCCCAGACTGCGAGCCCCTTGATTTTATGTATGGGGTGTAGTTGAGCGAGAGACCAACAGAACTCCTTATAACACCAAAGATGAACTGAAGGCAAGGATTATGGCAGCATTCATCAACTTAATCAAAGAGAGCGTTCAAAATAATTGCAGGAGTCGTCTGGAGGCCGTGGTTGAAGCCAATGGTGATTTTATTGAATAAATTTATTCTTTAGTATTTCAAGATATTTTTGTGTAATTTTGGTAAATATATCTGTTAAAATAAAATGTCTGTGTTATTATTTTCATTATTAGATGACAATTTATCCACCGCACCCTGTATATATTGTGTGTGTGAGAAGAAAGAGAGAGAGCAAGATATCAAATTGTTAAAATGAATTAGTCTCTTTTGTAATTTTCAGATTTCTGATGGTGACCATCTTGAAGTGATATGGTTCTAGTTTCTGTGTATCTGTCACCGAATAATGCATACACTTAGTTGAATATAAAAATGTACTAATATATATGTACATAATCTGGATACTGTCCTTATATAAAATAAGATTGCATATTATAACAAATGAAAATATCTTACAATGTTGCTGTTAACATGCTGATCTTATCAGTGATAGAGGATGAATTCAGTTTCTGAACATTGAATGAAGAACAAATGAATATTTGGCAGCTCATCTTATGTTGGTATAACCACTGAATGACTTGAAGTATGCTAGGTATGCCATAATAATACTCTTAGCATTCAATTCTTTTGATTAACTTTTTTTTTGAAAATTATTATGAAATACATTTGAAGGTCAACCTTCCTTTGTTATAAAGTTAATTCATTTTACTTCACTGGTAAAATTTTAAATTTGATTTATTTTTCTAAAATATCCAAATTTTTAAAAAATCTTCAGTAAAAAATTTTAATATAGAAATAATAAAATGTCTTTAAAATATTCTTTACTTTCAAATACATTGTCTGAATAATACTTTTTTAAAGAAATCTTTAATGAATATTCAAATTTTTTGGAAACATTGTTTTATTTCATCTGTCACAATATGATCTTTCTTTAAATATTATCAAATGTAACGAAAGCAAAACAAACTGCTATTATAACCAGATTTCATTGCTTACATTTTGGGAAACGAATTTAATCTCATTAAATATAATCTCCCTTTCTTTTGTTGACACCACAGGTGTTTTATTTTTGGGAATAAATAAATAAACTAATGAAAATTGAATTAAGTAAAAAAAAAAGATCTTAAACAAAAGTTAGCGTGAAAATGTAATAACGTCAAATAAACCTATTGTTTCTTTTGAAATATTGGCATTTAAATATTTTATGGTTAAAAAACGAGATTTAATTATTGTATTTAAAAAAAGCCTGTTCAGCAGGTGCCATTATACGAAAGTAAGGAAATTGAAAATATACTGCTGCAACTATTTTTACCACAAGTGACTGGAGAGTGACATTCAATAACAAGATGGCGGAACACGCGATGGTTGAGTTGGAGCACGCAGCTCAAATAGTTTTGGTTAGTATATGATTCTTTGATTTTTACCGCTGTCTATTGTCAGTTATTTATCTTTTACGGCTTCATACTGTTGAAAACATTATCTCCTGTATTCTACATTTTTAAGTTTATAACCTTTCACTTGTTTTTCTGCTTTCTATCCTCTTTTCTCTTCCGTAAGTGTATTTAATTGAAATTTCTACTATCAAATGCGACACGTGAAAAGCCTCGGGGGTGACCACCGAATGTGGAGGGGGAACCCACGTTTAAAAAAAAAAAAAAAAAAAAAAGGATCTGTTTGCAGTTGCTGTTTTAATTCATCCTCCGGATTTTGGTGATGGGTCAGTTTCTTAATGTTGATGAAGTGGCTTGATTAGATATTATTCTCATTTTTGTTCTCCGGAAAATAACTTATATTTTGAGAGTTATCGGAAAGTTTTAAAGATAAAAAAAAAGTGGCTGACATCCATTGAAAATTTTGTCTGCCCCGTTTCTGTGACGTCACACGTGTGTGAAGATTTTTTTTTTTTTAAATAGATCTTTTTAATATTTAGTTCTAAAAACATAAATTTAATCGTTTGCCTTTTCTTTATTGTCGTTATTTCAGAAAAATTGATATTTTTATCTTGTCTTTATCTCTTTTATTAGCAATATTAACAACAAAATTAACCACTTACACTCAGTAACACCGATTAAAAAAAAAAGTGTAATGAAACTTGTTTTGTGAAATAAATTGAATCTAACTCTAAGAGGTTTCGTTTAAGTGTGTAGAGATTTTTCTAATGAAAGTAAATGACAATTTTTTTTGTTTTTTCTATTCTAAAATATTACAAAGTTACAAGAAGTGATTACAATTACAAGTTTGTTATTATTCTGTTATTGTAAAAAAAAAAAAAAACAGAACCAAAAAAACAAAACCCTCAAATATAAGTTAAAAATGATACTTTATTTAATTTAAAGTACAGTTCAATATTTTGATGGCAGCCTTTGGTTTGAGTTTAAAAACTGAAATGAAAAGATGTTTCTCTTTTTTTACTTCCGTTCGTGCACTTAAAAAGTACTTTATTCATTTTTGTAATTCTACGTTTTATAAAGACATCCGGCATTCATTCTCATCTACTCCCATAATCGTCTTCTTTAGAAACAGTACAAACAAAAATGTGTCTACTAAGAAAAATCACGTTTTTATTTATTTTCGAAGATGATTATGAATTTTGTTTTTTTGCACTCTAGGCCTGAATTACTAAGATCCTAAGTGCGTCAATTAGCTAACATTTAAATTAAAATGATCCTTTATTGTTCCTCAGATTTTCTCTTACGTTGCCGATTATAAACATACTACTCTAAAATAAAACTTAATGTTTATCTTTTAAAGCCATTGAGATGGGAGGTTAGGTACGGAGTATAGAACTGTCGTAAAAAAAAACAAAATGTTTTGTTTTTGTTAGCAGCCCTCGGTTTTTGTAACGAGAAAACCACTTTTCATGTAAATCACTAACTACAATATTGTTGATTGAATGCGTTCTCATTCAGTAAAAACTCTAGGCATAATAAACGAAATTAAAATGAATGGACAAGTTTTACGTTATGACAATTATTTTTTGCCATCCCTGTCTTTTTCTTTAAAAAAAGTTCTTGTTTATTAATTTTTTGTTGTATAAACTGAACATGAGAAAGAATAAAATCTAAATGATTTCATATTATGTATTTTCCCTTAAAGACTAAATAAATGTATTTAGTACATTTTTGTTTTCGTCGCCACTTGATCAGTAGAGTGCATAAAACGAGTGTAAAATCTGGCGGGCGCACTTAATACATGAAGAACCGGTCATCAATTATCTGACCTTAGTTTTGTTACTAAATGTGATTATTTAGAATCGGACAATTGATAAATGATTCTTTTCTTATGAATTTGTATTGGATTAACTGGTAAAAGTTTTCCTCTTTGTTGGTCTTTGTAAAAGTAAAATCATTAGCTTCTTTTGACAAATCGATTTTTTTTCTTAAAAAAAAAAAGAAAGAAAAAGTGACGACTTGTGTGTATCTTGTCAAATCTCGGCTAATCCCCCCCCCCCCGTTGTTATAATGAGGACAATAATTCATTCCTCTGTCTGCTCCAGGGACATGTTTTTAAAAATCTTATCAACGCCCAGAATTTTTTTCGTTTAATTTCTCAACTTCCTACGAATGGCAAAACTAGTGATATGTTCTTGGTGGGGACGGCAGTGTTTGATTCACTAGGAACCGTATTGACCAGGGTTAAACATTAAGGTCAGACAGTTTCACATTTTAAATTCACAATTCAATCATGTTAAAAAAATGTCTTTGTGGTGGTCTCTAATGAAGTGTGAGACTGATTCATTAAATTCTCATTATTTAGGACCAAAATGTGTGCGTGTGTTGATGTAAGGATCTTTGTCTCTGAAGAAAACTTTCTGATATTGCTATTGTACTTTTTACTAAAATAGTCATAAACTTTTTTTAAAGTATGAAATTTGCAAAAAAAAACCCCAAAAAAAACTGCAATCACAATTCTTGACTGCGGATTTTTACCTCAATGCTGTTTTATGAATTTTTTTTTTTTTAAATTGACTATTCTCCAGAATCTTTTTCAGTAGTGCCTGTACTTTGTCTTTACATAACAAAGTTATCTGCTGGTTATTTCAGTTTGACTTGTAAAACTTCTGTTAAGGAAATTGTTATTTATAAATTGACTGTTAAAATTAAAAATCTTAAATGAAATGCAATATCAACTGTTATGTATTATGGTTTTTCAAACAAGTTTCATTAATTTGTTGAGAGCGTCTTCTATGCTTATTCCTAGTATAAGATGTTTTCATAAGCACTTGTCTTTTTAAACACATCAGTAAGAACAATGAATTGTGTATAATAAAAAAAAAAAAAAGTTTATTTATTCAGAATGCTTACTTCTAGGTACCTCCAGAGATTTTGAGACCGAAGGCTTAAAAATGAAAAATCTTACTTGAATATTTTATTTTAGCTTTAATTTCAAGCTAATAGATTAAACTTAATATTTGCGATAAGCAAAATACCTTGTATTTCAAAACTAATTTAAATTGATGGGAAGAATTTTTTTTTTTTTTTTTTTTTAACTGATTTTAATGTCATTTTTAGCCATCATTCATTTCAATTTAATTCTCTATTAAAATATCTTCTCGGAATAAAATATACTTTTGTGAAATTTTATTTGAGGAATACCATCTGATTTGAAACAAATATTAAGTATAATATATTGCAGAAATGCAATTTTTTAATTTTTTGTTTTAAAATATTGACAAAAGCTTGAATGACATGGAAGTTTGTCTGTTTTCTTCTTTTGTGTATATCTCTAAAATTATATATATATATATATATATATATATATATATATATATATATATATATATAAAATTTTTCATATTCAGTAAAAATTAAAATATTCTGTAATCTAGTGTTTTATTGAATTTTAGTTACTTTGGCTTTAAATTTACTATAGTAATCACTATTATTTTTGATAATGTTGTGTATGAACAACCGTATCTACAAAACTTGGTATGTTTATACACATACAAAAGAATACAAAATTCTCGTAAAAATACTGTGGATCCTTAAATTGTAAGCTTTTTGATTTATAATTAGTAAATAGTTTTTACTTAACAATATCGCCTAACCATTACACATGAATAGAGAATTTTAAGAGTTAAAACTTTATAAATTTTATTTTAATAAAATTAAAAAAGAAAATATAATGAATTCTTGTAAAAAAAAAAAAAAAATTCATTATTCATTGAAAAACAAATTTCTTTAGACAATAGTATCCTTAATGTCTTATTCATAAAAGCAATTAAAAGCTTTTCTAATTAAATAATGTCTTGCTTTTACTGCATTTATTTATTTTATGATTCAGACCAGATTTTTGATAACTGGGTGGGGGGCATGTTTTACAAAAAGAAATTGATGATTTAAATTCTCTTAGTTCTGCTTTTAACTAATAAAAACATTAAGCTTTACAGAATTTAATTTCATAAAATTAAATAAGTGGGGGTAACGGAGGTTAAAAAAAGAAAAATCTAAGATTTTCTAAGAAAAAAAAAAAAATTTCTGAAATAATTTAATTCATGTGTGAATAGGCCCTGAAAGTTTCATTAAAATCTGATAATTATTGGATTTTTACAAGAATTTCCAAATCAATGTGTTTTTCATCACAAAAGATGCTAAAACTTGCTATGCTAATTTATAGCCTGCATGTTGTTGCAAGAAATAACAAAATTTGTTCTAAAAAAGATTAAAAAAAAATGTAATTGAAAAATACATTGTCTTTTCTCTTAACAATAGCAAAGGTTTTGATGATAAAACTTATCAAGTTTGGGGTATTTTTTTTCATAGTGGTTTGTTTGTTTTTTTTTTTTTTTTTTTTTTTTTTTTTTGAATTAGTGGGAGTAACTACTTGATTTTCTGAGCAAAAGATAGTTTATATAATAGCTTTTACATATACAGTACATTGGATATAATTAAACTGCCAACACATTTAACAGTGAAAAGTACTTATCCTGCTTGCTCAATTTTTTATTTAATGCTGTAATATGTAGATCTCCTGATCAAATAGAAAAGGAAAACTGTTTTATAAATCCTGGAGAAACCATAGTGAAGTTTGACTTGAAATTTTATCTTTGAGTTTCATAGATATAACTTTGCTTTGCAGAATCTCTTCTAGTTTTAATTTTTGTATATTTTTGAATATATGAATCATTGATGAAAACCAAGTACTTTGTGCATAAACAATTTCATTAAAAATCTTTTTAAAATGAAATATTTTTAAAAATTACCATACAGATGGGATATAAAATAGCACCTATAAAAAGATTTCATGTCTTGGTTGTAAAATAGCAGTGTGATATTATTGTAATAGTTTTGTAAAATTAGAAATTTCACTTCTCTGTTGGCATTCTTGAATATGTCTCTTGTAGCAGTCTTTGATATTCTCTATTATTTGCTTATATCTTGCGTTATTCCTCCATAAA